GCGGCGGCGGCGGCGTCCCCGGGCAGCGGCTGGAACCGGCCTGAGAGGAAAACATCGCGGTCTCCAGGGGCCGCCCTGCGCCTGCGCGGCCTCAACCAAGCGCGGCCGAAGGGGAGTGGGCGGAGTGGACTGAACCAACGCTTCGCCTCCTCCCCAGAGCGCGAGTCAAAATGGCCGCCCGCAAGGGGAGGGCGTCACGTGACCTTCCCAAGGTACGTCTCGACGCCGCTTGGTGCCGGGAAGGGCAGCGCAGAGCACTATGGGATTTGTAGTCTCCGGGAGCTTGAGGGTGAGGCGTAACTGTTCCTCCCGGGGGTGGGGGCGGTAGTGTCATGTGACCCACAAGATGGAGGCTGTACCGAAATGGCCGTTGGGAACGCAACACTCCGGAGCCGCGGGTTTGGGTGCCCGGAAGTGACGCAAGGCCTCTGTGTGTTGGTGTCTGACAGGAGGCGACGGGGCCTACTGCTGCCGCCGCGGGCTCTGGTCTCGTCCCGGCCTCTGCCGCCCCCATGACTCAGGTGAGTCGAGCCTGCGGCAGAACGGCCCCCGGCCCCCGGGGCGGGGAGCAAGAGCCCCGCCCGCAACCGAGCCCCGTGTGCGGCGAACAGCGCCCCCCGGTGGCCGGGGGCTGAGCCGGGCTGCGGTCCGCCCCGCCCCGCCCGCCGGCAGCCCAGCTCGCCCTGCGGGCCGGTACGTGGCTCCTGCACGCGTGAGCCCCCCCCCCTCCCGGCTTCAGGCTGTGCCGTGGCGCCCCTCTCAGCCCCTCGAGTCAGGGACTTGGGCCGTGCCCGTCCCCTGGCCCGCCCCAGCTTCACCGGGCAGCGCCCGTCGGAAACGGCGGCGGCCCGTGCCGCTGGGCGGCGCCCGGAGTTCAGCCTGGCGCCGCCGCCCGCTGCGGGTCCCGGGCAGGCATCCCCCGCCGAGCGCGCCCCGGGCCAGTCCTGGGGCTTGCCGACCCGCCTCGACTCCCCAAAGACACTAGACGGCAACCTGTGCAGGTAGCCAGATGCTCAACCAGAGGTAGATCCCGGATCCCAGACAAAATGCCTTTGCCCTGGGAAATTCCAAACTAAATGACATTTCCTGCAGAATGGAAATTCCGAAACTTCACTTAGAAAAGTCACCCCGGTGCTTCCGTTTGGCTTTCTTGAAATGTTTCCGAGGCTCGCCCAGCCTTCCGGCAGCCGGCCAGGCTGGGACCCCCAGTTCTGGGGCCAGGCACCTGGCAGAGTGTGCTGGTGGGAAAATGGTCCATTGGGAAATTGCCACGTTGCCAATGAGGCTTTTTAGACCAAATCCCGGCATTTTGCATTATACCTGAAAGTAGATGGGGAAGCAATGCAGAGCTGGCAAAACAAGTACACTATGCTAACATCATGCCACTTCACCAAGCAGGTAGGCCTTCTGTTATCACTGAATCTTTAGAGTTGTCTTTAAGAATAGCCCTAAATCCCCTAATCCATTCTGGAGGGGACAAAGGTAGTTCTGTCTTTAGTGTCCTGTGATTTGTTGGTAGAATCTAGAAATGGAACAGGCCTGTTAGGTTTCAACTAATCCATAGTTTGAGGAGATTGTCAATATAGAGATATTATTTGTATCGTAGTGGTACCGAGGCCACATGTGTGTCCTTCTAGCATATTTTCCAAAGCTGTACAATTTGCTGTTAATTTCTTCAGCTGTAAATTCTGTCTGAAATGGTGGTTTATTTGTTGCATATTCCCTTTTCTATATTATGGTGTATATCAGAGTTAGAATAAAATTAAGAAGCACAAACAAGAAGGTTTTATGCTACACAATGTTTGGGATGGCATTTTTTTCATTGTAATTTGACTGTCAAGTTGTGTGTGTGTACGATGTACTGCACTGTGGTTGCTTGAGAAATTTAAAATTAAACTTGGTGAAGCTCTTGAATGTGCAATAGGGAACAAGCCTCTACTGGACAGGAGAAAGCCTAGATGGTCATGTGCTGTGATTCTAGGGTTTTATGGTACAAATGAGGATTTGGGGTAGGCATTTCAAAGCTCCCTTGACCTGGAATAAGCACTTGAGCCCTTACTTCCTATTATTCCCATGTAAAGAAAATCCCATGTAGATAATTGGGAGTCATTACATAATATTGTTTGTGAAAAGAGGATAATTTATAGGTCAAGCAAATTTAATATAACTTTTCCAAGATAATCATGACGTTCCTAACAATAATTCTATTGGTATTTATTGTACTTCAGTTTTAATTTTTGTCATTAGAAGGGGCTAGGACTCAACAGTTCATCTAAATGTTTTATAGGAACAATATCACGCTTTGCTAAGTGCAAGTTATTTGAATAGACACGTTTCTCTGACTAGTGAATGTACCTTGTTCTAACTTCATGGCTAACAAACTAAGTAAAGATATACAGATTCTGTGCATTGTTGTTTATTTGACGATCACAGGTTTTGTTATGTGTAGTAAACACAAATGTGAGTAGTCACATTTAATTCTGTGGGACTGCTCACACGCCAAGTTACGTGTACAAGTTTTTGCAGGATCTGGGACTTATTCCATATCACACGAATGATTCTGGTTCTCTAGCAATCGTCTTTGAGGATGTTGTTAGCTTCATGTGTCTATTGGATTCTGCATGCTCCTAGAGTAAAATTAGGAAGTGAGGCAAAGAGAAATAATCTCTGTAAACAAATACACTTAAATAAAGGAAATAAAAAGAAAAGAAGCAGGGGATTTAGCTGCTAGATTGCATCACTAAGCTTGTGAATACTGCAAATTCAGTGACCAATTGTCACCATCTTGTTTTCAGAAAATTGTGGTGAAGAGTTTTCTTAAAAATCTGATACAAGATTATGATAGGAAAGGGGTAAACTTGTGTATTTTCCTACACAACATTGTTTTTACTTTGGTTGTAATTCTTTACCTCTTTGCTAGAGAGTGCTATGTTCTATATTTAAACATTGTCAGATAATTGTCTCCCTCCAGACTCAGTACTTCACTGGTGCTCTGCCTTGCAAATTAGGTGTCAGGGAGTTATAAAAGTGGTGAAAAGAAACTTGCCAGTGACCACAAGTCCTTACTTTTTAGTACCAGTTGACAAGAAGCAAAATGATGAAACGTTGTAGTCAGTTTAACAGATGAAAAGCTGGTTTATTTAAAATTCAGAAATCTGATGGGCACAATGTTCGTATGTATTTCATCTGGGGTCATGAACAAGAGTGGATCTGTCAGTTGTAGTCTCTGCCATTGTATTTAAACAAGCTGAACAAGGAAGAGGTGAAAATGTGTAGTATAACAATGGGGACACAATGGAATGCTTGAAAAGTTTACAATTTAAAATGTTGTTTCCTTCCAATTGATTTATCATAATTTCTTATGCACAGTATCTAGGTTTAGAAGTCTGTTCTTTCCTCTGTGCATAATCCCTGTGGCTGATGCTGGGAGCAACTGTGCATGAATAAGTGGATAATGATGGCAAAATCAGACTTTAAAATTATTTGGCCAAATTTTGCCTCAAAACCCATTGATTTCAGTGGGCTTTCAGAGTGTAGTGCCAGGTCTGCACTACAGATTTCTGCCCGTAGAGCTGTATTGATCAGGGGTGCAAAGAGGTGCAATTCCTGACTGACGTAGCTTGTGCAACCAGAAGCCCTTAGCGTGCATGCAGCTGTGCCAGGATAATGTGCACTTTTACCAGTTTCTTTCATTTGTAGGGAATGGTTTTATTATACTGGTACAAAGCTTGTATAGTTGCATCCTCACCAGGAGCACTTTGCTGGTATATTGTGCTAGTATTCCTGTACTGGTAAAGCACATCTGGATGTAGCCTAAAAGGGTAGAATCTGTCTAATCGTTATCTGAGAAGGAAATTCCATTGCCTCAGTTTTTAGCAGCCTGACTCTTTTTCCCAACCACAAATTTAATAATTCTGGCTGCAATAAAATAGTAACCAAAAGAGTTACTTCTGTGGTTTATGAACCAATAACTATAAAAACAACAAACAGAATTATACTCAAGATAGAGGCTAGGGGTGTTATATTTATTTAATGAATAATAAGTGTCACGGTTCAGTGCAATTGCAACTGTATTTCCCCTCAATAGTCCAACCTGGGCACCCACTCTCAGGCTTCCAGCTCCCCAGCCATTGCCTTTCTGGGTGGAAACGTGTGTCTCTTTGCCTTCTGACCAGGGTTTTGCCAGGCTGAGCGGTTCCCTGCCTATACCGTGTTATCCCCAGCACAGACAGGCTGCTGATGGACACCTGCTTACTTCCTCTTCAGAGACGGTTAACACAGGTATATTTGCTACAGTTATAAAGTACCACAAAGAACTTCCTATGCAAGCCTTCTTTATTCTTAAGGCAAAAAGCACTACTAAGAAAACATATTACAAACAATAAAAGAACCTACACACATGCTAATAAGCTTACCAGACATCACCTTAAGATGGATTCTGGCAGGAGCAGTCCAACCTCCCATCCAAGGGGATTCCTTGTGGTTACAAATTCTTGTGGTTACAGTCCTTTCAACGCTACACTAAGGATTGAGGTCCTTTGTAGACCAGGGTCTCATCCATTTGTTGGTTCAGGAAGAAAGCCCATGAGCCAGTTTAAAATTAGGCTAATTATTCAAAACCCATTTCTTTGGCCTTTGGTCCCCGGAAAATCCAATCTGAACTAAGTATATGTGAGCCTCTCCAAGGCGGTGGCTTCAAGGGGTTGATAACAGGAAGTACATTAGCAGCTCCTCTCCCTTCTAGAGAAGGTATGTACAATGCCACCATAACACACAATTGCATTTTTAATACACGGTACCTCAGAGGTATTAACCCTAATTCAGTAAGGTTTAATTTAATTCAGTAAAGTTTATCTTAATTCCATAAGGTTTGTTCAAGATATTGTCAGTCTGTCACAATAAGAAAACTAGTTTTGTAGGCAGAATGGCCCCTTATAATTGTTTGTTAGAAATAAGAGAATCTGAAATGAGCACTCCCATTCTTTTCTAAAACTACAATAATTTAATTTAGTAATGTTTGAGAACTTTTCAAAGCACTTTCTAAATATTAAATAATGAAT